TCTTGAATAAGGTTATCGTTTGATAGCTATAAAAACTCTCGTTCTTGTTATCAAAACCTTATTTTTCAAGAAATATATATGTTAACTTGATATTCCATTGTTCTTGATTTAAAAACTCTAGTGTTTTGTTTGAACAATAAAAATATATTTCTTGATAATCTCTTGCATATTTTCTTGAGTTGTTCTGTTAGAAAAATACGTATGGAATTATTGTTCTTGGTTTACCTGTGATTTGATAAATTGGTTTGGTATTTTATCTCTTGTGTGAATGTTTTGATAAACATGGATGACTGTTGACCGGGTATCATAAAGTGGGTAGATGTGTTTCTTACTCCGAGTGGATTTGAAGGTTTCCCACCATTCGTAGTGTGGTTGGTGTCTTGCGATGATCAAACCACTATTCGCTCACAAGTATCGAGATTGAGGGCGTATACTATTCTTAGGTTGGATTCATCACTACTGATGCGTCAGTATAAGCCCTTCCTAAAGTTGTGTATCCTTGCGAGGATTGGGTGTGTGTATATGGGCCAAGATATTTTCAATGTGTGTATTCATGTTAAGTCTTATTACATACTTGAGATACAATATTGGTAACGGTTTATTATTTGAAAGTTGGTTTTACTTCTTCATTTTATTTATTGCTACTACATAAACTTGAGATATGATAAACTGTCACTGTTTTATTTCAAAAGTTATGTATGATATTTTTGTAAAATAAGACCAACCTATTTTATATGTTTTCAAAACCTTATTCGAATTTGAGAGGATTTTCCTACAAAGCTTAGTGCTCACCCCGTACAAACAATATCTTTTTCAGATTACGGTCTAGAGGAAAAGTTTAGATTGAATGAGTAGGTAAAGTCGAAAGCTCAAAATTTATGGGAACGTGAATTCCGATGTAGACGTTTAGAGTTGTTTCTTTTATGTTTTAAATTGAGAGATTAATTATGAGACAATCTTAAGAATAATATTTTATTTATTCTGCTTCAAGATAATATTTGATTTTTTGATGTAATAGCCATAGTTTAGCATATTTGTTTTGGATGATACTTTAGGTATTATCTATGATAAATGAAATTTATTTTATTTATGGATTTTATTAGTTGCTCTTATGATATTAATGGTTATAGATAGTAATGTCTTCTAAGGTAGATTTTGGGGCGTTACATACTCTCTCTATATCTCTACTATTTTCAAATATATACAGATTTAATTTGATTTTTTTATCTATCTCTATCTCTACCCCTATTTTCTCGCTCACCATTATTCTCTCTCCTTATTCTCGATCATAATTCTCTCTCTACTTATATCAATATTACAACAAATAATTACACCAATTATTTATACCAATCAGTTATAATTAGTCTATAATATACTAAACAGTTACTCATGTGTTTTGTAAACCAAAAAGTTACACCAAATAATTATATAAAATTACGATACCAATCCAATTTTTTCATTCAATTATTTACATAAATCAAAAAGTTACATCATTTAGTATCATGACATGATTATACCAATTATATTCACCAAAGGGAAACATATTAGGCAAATTCGATGTAGTCGTTATGGATGACTAGAGAGTCACAACAAGAAAACTTGTAATGAGCCTATGTGATTAGATTACTATTTTAAATTAATAAATTTTCATTACCTTTTTTTTTTAATTAATATCATGTTATTTTTTGGGGGGTGTTGTATTATTTTTAGTTATTGTGGACATATTATTGTGGAACTTATAATTTGTGGAACTATATTATATGGTGTAACTCTTTTCATAGTGAAGCATATTGACTGTGAAAACATTACAGTAAAAAAAAAACATAAAAATGATCTTTTTTAAAAAAATTGGGGAGAAAAAAAAAAGTTGTAATGGTAAACTATTTTTTGTATTGTTAAGTCTTAGAGAATGTCATGTTAATGCCACAGCCGATACAACAACGAGTTACATCAAATAGTTATTTTGACATAATGTGATATTAACGTTACAACAAACAATTATACTAATTAGTTACACCAATCAGTTATACTTGTTCTATAATATATCAAATAGTTACTCATTATTTTGATAAACCAAACAACTACACCAAATAATTACACGAAATTACGACACCAACCCAATTTGTCATTTAGTTATTTACATAAACTAAAGAGTTACATCATTTAGTATCACAATATTGTTATATCAATTATATACACAAAATAGGGTGAACCAAGAAATCATACTAAAGAAGTACATCATACAGGGACACCAATGAATCAATGTATGTTGGGATGACGTTTCATATCAAAATATTATGCCGCTTGTAAGAATCAAAAGTCCAAAATAGATATAACTCAAAAGCAGTGAATCTCAATAGGGTTACTCCAAACTATTACAATAAACTAACAATTAGTGTATCTGTTTAATAATCGAATTTTAAGATTTTTCTACTTTACATATATGCATTCATCATAAAAGATTTCAAATTTTATTATTTTCATTTCACAAAACATGTTTTTGGATTTTTTTCAAACGAAAAAACTGAATTAAAAAAAATAAAGAAACTTGTATTATTAGGTGATTCAAATACCGATTGTAACACCAACCAGTTACTAAAAATAGATATAGAAATCAAATGCCTTGAATATCAAATAGAGTTACTCCACACTATTACAATAAACAAAAAATTAGTGTAACAATTAAAATTTTGTGTTTTTCAAAATTTAAATTTTTTATATATTCTTTCAACATAAAAAAATTCAACTTTTTTATTTTCATCTAGAATTGTTAGTGTTTTTTAATTTTAGTTTGGGTTCTTCCGATAAGAAATTGCAAAAAAAAAAAATAGAAACTAAACATTAAAAATCGGGCCTGAAACCTTGAAGGCTAACTTTAATGTCCAGAGAAAAAGATTCCAATGATGGAGAACAATTACACCAAACCAAACTGTTGTACAATTATACGAACATTTACAAGAAAATAGGATATCTTCTTCCTCCTCTTTTCTTTTAAAAAAACCCATTTGATCTTCAATAAGGTTAGAAATGATTATTTCCCAATATTACCTTCAAAATCTGTTCATAAATCTATTTGAATCTCAAAAATGTCGAAGATGAAGGGACACTTTGTTTAATGATTCCTTTTTAGCCGCTTGATTCCTTATTAGAGTCAAGATTGTTGTTTGGCATCCAAATGGGGTTTGATCTTTTTTCCTCTTAACGAATGGCCTTTTGGTCATTTTCTTAAAAAATGCACTTTTCCCAAATAATTTTTTCTATTGTAATTTAGCTCAATTAAGTCCAAATTTTTGTACCAAATTCCATTTTACCCCTTAAAAATATATAAAATATATCTCTAATGGGCTTTCTATTTAGGCTAGCTATAATAGAGAGTCTAATTTAGCTCTCTACATTTGGAGAGTCAAACTTACTTTCTATTTGATCATTAATGAATGATAAGATGACACTTATACATTTTTCATTAAATAAAAAGACTGTTCTCTGTTAGAATAGAGAGCTTATTGGAGTTGTCTAAAATAATATCCTCTCTATTTCAAAATTTTATCAAAGATGTTCTCTATTTTAAAAAAGATTCTCTCCAAAATAAAGAGTAATTGGTAACGACCTGTCTGTTTTTGTTTTTTGTTTTCAATTTTTATCAACATAAAAAATAAAAACACGTTTGGATGTGTTTTCATTTTTATTAAGATACTGTGTTTTGAAAACAAAGTAAAAAAATGTAAACAAAAAAAAAGGTGTTTTCATAAACACGTAAAAATATAAATAGGCGCGCTCTAGTGGAGAATTAATAAAATCCGGACTTCAAATCTTGTTAGCAGCAAAAAATAGCATTTTTTGCTAGGACTATAAAATCCCTCCTTTTATTTGTTCTTTCTTCTCTCTGCAGACGTTAGAGCTCCATTCCTCCATCATCAAAGCTCTAATCTACTCAATCTCTACCTCTCTATCTCATATTTGGTCATTTATACATCGATCTCGCATCTCTCAAGCTCAAATTTGCATCTCTTTTTACTAGAATTTTTTTTTTTTAACTTCAAAGCTCATACCTGCTCCTCTCTCCTTATTTTTTTTTAACTTTGTACTATACATATATCCATAGATCAATACATATATTTTTGTGTGTGTTGGTGTGTGGACTTGTGTGTTTCTGTGTGTGTCTATAAGTGTGTATGTGCGCGCGCGTTGGGGTCTGTGTTTGTGTGTGGGTCTTATTTTCCTTCTTCCCTTTTTTCATTTTCATTTTCATTTTTTTTATCAACACATGTTTTTTGTTTTTGTTTTCATAATTTGTTAAATATGATTGACTACCAAACATATTTTGTATTTTTAGTTTTTTATCACAGAATAAATAAATATTATTTATGTTTTTTTTTGAAAACAAAAACATTACCAAACACATCTTATAGTAAGAGTGTGTGTGAGTTTGGTGAATTAATGTATTGGTACACATACAGCCTATTCTGATGTTTCAGTGTGTACATAAATATGTATATTTTAGTGTATTAGTATATATATGTGTGTAATAGTTTGTTTTTGTTTGTATATATGTGTTTTAGTGTATTAATGTGTGTTTATGTTTATTCTGGTGTATTAATTTCTGTATGTTTGATGTCTTAGCTCGTGTGGGTGTATGTGCATATTGATGTGTTATTGTGTGTGTGTGGTTGTTTTGCTTAAATCTATTGAGACTCCCACGTTTTATTTCAAAGTCACATTGTGCTATTTATTCAAGAAAATCATTTTTTTTTTTTTTGCTTTTAGAAAAAAGACTCTTTTTCTAAGTTTACTTATTAAAACTTTTTTTTAATACAAAAGCAAACACTACTTTTTGTTTTCTTGTTTTAAAAAACAAAAGAATACTTTAGAAAAGAACTACCAATTGGCACCAAATCGGGTGCTCTAAGAGGCCCGAATACCACCTAATATCTCCTACATAAACCACGGGAAGGAGGGAACAAACTATAACACAGCAAGAAAGTGATGAATATGAGGAATTTACCGCCTTCACAATATTTTCCAAAAGATGGCTGAAAGCTTCAATGGTACTTCCTACAACAGGGAGAAGAGGAAGTGCAAAAGCCTCATGAACTCAATTTTCACATTTACATTTGCTTTTTTGAGTTCATAGAATGGCTTAAAGCGGGGCTACGAATTGGCATTAAGTTCCTCCCTAGTAATGGCACCTTTTGCTTCTAGTACATCATGAGAAGAACAATATATAAAGAGGGATTCCCGTGAACAATATTAGCCATGAACGGGGCATGTATTGGAGAAGCTTGGAGCTGATCCAGCATTGATAGCTTCTTACTTACTCCTGAAGGAAAAAAATGTAGGGTAAATTCCCCAACATTAACATCTCTATAAAGACATGAAGATACAACAAATAAAACAGACCCATAAAAGCTTATGCATGGCCATGAATTCATATCCTGGAAACGAAAGGTAAACAAGTGAAGAATATTGTAACAGATTCATATTTTCCTTTTTTGTAATCCTTTACAAGAGGTAAACAGAAGATTCTGCAATACATTTGTTCTGTATTCAGTCGTTATACGTCTCATATGCTATATATTGCAGACAAGAACTATCATTGTCCATGTAGTATAACTAAGAGTCAGCAAGATTTTGATTGGGTTTGGTAACAGTCACATATTTGCACCAACAATATCCTAGGGAGGACCTGTAATGTAACCGTGTGGCCATATAAAACTAATTCTGAACTTGGTAGACCTTAAAGAACCAAGTCTTTTCCATAAAGGTATGACAGAAGATGAACCTACGACTGGATGTCAACTGAATCTTACCATATCTGCAACTGGAGAAGCAAAAATTAATGGATCAGATTGGGCTAGCCTCCAGTTAATTTAATGATGAAAATTGATAGAAGAACTTAATTAATACGAAAATGATATTTGAGGGACAAAATTGGGACAATTGAAAGTTTAGGGAACAAAATGAAACTAACGACAAAGTTTAGGGACTAACTATGCTTTTTACCCAAGAATCAACTAGTGGCCTTTCGGTCCTCTCAAGAAAATGCACACCCTACAAAGGATCCAGCGGTGATACCCAAGGAAATGCCAAAGGTCCAAAAATTTCCAGTAATACCATTATATTCAACAACAGTTTTTTATTGGCCGTTACTTCAGGATAAGAAATAGAGAATCAATGTGGCATGATTTAATATGTGCAATTTGAGGTAAAATCCAACTGATCCAATATCAAAGTTTGATTTGCAAGAGAATTGATACACATAAAACAAAAACAAAAAATCTAGAGTAAAATCAATGCATAATTTACTAAAGAGTTAACTATTTATTTTACCCCTAAATTATACAATTTGTGTCAATCAAGCTCTTGAAATACATTTTATATCAATTTAGCCCATGAACTATAACATTTGTGTCAATATGACCCTTCTGTCCAAATTTATCATTAAGGTTGACGAAATTCTTCACATGCATAGCACGTGACCCCTAAATTATATCTTAATCCCCAACTCACGTGATGCGCACATGAGGAATTTCGTCAAAGTTAACTGTGAATTTAGACGGAAAGGACACATTGACAAAAATACTACAGTTTTGGGGCTAAATTGACACAAAACATAGTTTAGTAGTCAACTAATATGCATCCTCATTCTATGATTATACACATCGAAGAATTTTAAATGTTTAACACGACAACGAACTTTTCGAGAAAATTACTTAGTTGAGTTTCACTCATAAAGATTACTTCACACTTTATAATTTTTCATTTTTTCTTATCAAAAAAATGTCTTTTCATTTCTCTCGCTCAGAAAAGAACTTGAATTTTGAGTTTCCAAAAAAAAAAAACCTGACAACTAACATCTACTTTAAAATTGATGTCATTCTTTCAGTTTAGCACACTAGGATAATAACAGCTTCCAAAAAAGATTAAGAAAAAGGGGAGAGGGGCTGAAAGCCTGAAACAATTCACAAACCTGTCTCCTCCTTCGGCATTGTATGATGTACCATGTGCGGGCCATCACATAACATGGCAAAAGAAAACCAGCCAGCTGAAGAATGGAAACCTTGAAATGAAATTCACAAACTCATACACTTTTGCCTACTTAAATAAATCAACTGCAGATAAATGCTTACTTGAGCCTATGCAATCACCTTGAGAAAGTGTTTTATGCAATGATGAAAATAAACATATTTGTTTGCAGAGAGGTATTGAACACAACATAACTTCTTGCTACTTAAAAGATTCTACATGGTTTAATAAACATAAATCATTGTGCTTAAAAAAGGTTGATATCATTCACAGTTTCATCAACTTGTCCAGCTTCAACAAAAGTAGAAATTGTGAATCAGAAAAATTGCTGTGTAAACATAGCATGATAGTAATAATTGCCAATTCCAATTTCTATCGGAAGATTAAAACAAACAAGCAATCCAATCAAAGGAATCCAAATACTGTCAACAAGAAAAAAGCCCCCCTCCCCCCTTCTGGCCCATCAAAAAAAAAAAAAAAATGCCAATACATCTATGATGCACACATGACAGTGACATAAGTTAATATTTGCAGATTTATGTGAAATTAATGAATATGTGGTTGTACAAAGATTTTTACTTGCATCAATTTTTTTTAAAATAGGATAATGGCATCAAGTATCCTTCAGGTTGGAAGTTGATAACAGGGAGTCACTAGTTGAGTGTTCAAAATTCAGCTTAGTAACCTTGAGGGTGAGGGTTTGAACATGAGGAAGCCACAATATGCAAATAATCTGCACCCAATATCTGCATTTGTTAATCTATTTTGGTGTTTTTTGAGATACTCACATTACCAAATAGTCAAGATAAAAGCTTTATTGAAGTGAGTTGAGCTTATACTCACATTAAATAATGATGTTGACTCCTGCACCATCACAAAGTCTCTTGTGACCATCATAGCTTGACGTATCAGCAAGACTAGTATGAACTACAAATAGAAGCAGACCCACATTCTCGAGTTCAAGAGGCAAAAGTAAAAATGGCTTCTTAAATTCGACAAGTATACATAATTGTTTGCTCACAATGATAGCCACGGAGCGGAAACACACTAGGCTGCCACTATTTGCAAACGTGTATTCTTCGTATTCTGATTGCAAAAAGTGACGCTCAGCTGCAGTGAAAGCCAGAAAATGAGGATCTCGAAAATCAATGTGTGAGCCCCATGCTTGCCTGAAGAAAACAAGGGAAAGAAAGAATAGAGGACATTATGAATCATGATGAGTTTGAAATTAAGACAGTGATGTAACAAGCACAATAACTAGTGTTCCTTGGATGAAGCAGGCAATATTCTGGCACGAATTGCATAACCTTACTATCAATTATAGGGAAAAATAGGAAAAGGTTAGGTTGTGCTTGAAGCAACTAAGTTGACCTATACAGAAACAACAAATAAACTTCCGACCTGCCTCCTTATAATAAAGTTTGGCTTTTTTTGCAGGATCCTATACAATTGCGCCACCTTGCTGGTGACGTATGGACTAATGTTTTCAAGTGGGCAGGCCTGAGGTAAAATTCTTGGACACATGATGGAAGATCATGATTGTAAATAATAAAATAGTACCATCTTCATCCACCCATCACGAGATTTTGGGGGTAACCCAAAAACAGAGAAGACGGACAGCATATGGTATTATATGAATGTAATCACATATATGGAAACCCTGAAGCATACTCTGCATTTAACTAAAAATATCCTCCAAGTGACATAAATGGTTTTCCAAGTGGATGATATTATCACAATATCATTGACTAGTCAATAAAAAGAAAAAAACGCTCATTTTCTGACAGTAGCAGTGAAGATGAAACGCTCATGATTCATCATGCAGCAACAACTGATTTTTCCTTACATTTTTTATGATATTATAGAAATGAAAATGATCCAAGCTAGCACCAATTTACCGGGTTCCATAGCAAGCTATGCCCAGGTTCAGTATTGCAGATAATGCTATGATAATAGCAAGGCCAAATAGAGTACTGCTCATTTGAGGCTTCAGAGAGGCTGCATCAAAAGTAGAGAGGAGAGGGCAGTTTACATGCACTCTGCACAGGCATCTAACCAGCTCGTGCAATTCGCTCACCCACAATATGAGGCTTTTAAACAACAACACTCTGCACTTCTGCAGTTTGGATCTAACTTGAAGCAGCAAAAACCAAAAAAAAAAAAAAAATTAAAGAAGAGAATATGCAAAAGTGGGTTTGTGAATATGCAGGGCCCACATTTTGTAACATTCGATTTCAAAATAGTCCAATTAATAAAATGTGCCAAACTTGTCCCTTTCCAAATTCGACTCCTATACAAACAAGGCCAAGCAGGGCTGTTTCAAATTTAGGATCATAGGGTCATATCTTCTATGGTTCAAAGTATAGACTGATACTGATACGAATCGGCCGAATCGTATCCGTCTCGGTATCTTAGGAAACGATACCGTTACATGATATGTATACACCCCTATTCTTGCACAACTCGGACGAACCCGTCCAGTCGTCCGGGTTGTATCCGACTTAATCGCGAATCACCGAAATATCATCACCGAATTGGTCGATACGGTTCTACGACGATGCGATATAGCATGAATTTCTCGTCATATTCAACATTTTTATTTAGATCATATCACGCGTCGATGCTGTGGCCGATGTGTCTTAGAGTTCTCCGAGTTGATAGCCGATACCGCGACCTTGAACCATGCCTGATACAGTGCCACGACGCCGTGACTGATGTGTCTCAGAATTCTAAGTCGATGGCCTATACCGCAACCTTGAACCATAGCTCCAGCAATTCCTTTAGATCCAAGGATTGATAACAAGACTCTATGGCATTTACTAGTTGGCTATATGCGTAAGAAAGATTTGCAAGAATTTTATGGACATAATCTGCTGGATGGTGTAAAAAACTTGTAATTTAATTTTTGCAAGTATTGATTGCATAGAAAACATTGTAGTGTTCATGTAAGGACAAGACAACATAAAAACAATTATGTATTAGAATACATACACTGTGACTTCTCTAGGAAAGTGCGCGTCTATTTCATAAAGCACAATAATGAAGTGCTTGAAAATTCAAACAGTGGAAAGTTGAAAAGATAGTAGATGGATAATGGAACCAAAAGAAAACTCCATGGGTTAGAAAGGTCTACGAGACAAAAGGAGCTACTAAACATAATATTGCAACAAATAGGCCATAAAAAAATTGGTATAACCAAAAGAAAGAACATGACGTTTAAAGAGAACAAGATGTATGAGCATTCATTTAGGCTTGCCAAAATCATTTTTCGCTGAAGTTGTTAACATAGGATGATATATTGTTAACAAGATACCACCTACAACTATTAGTGCAAACATACCTGAGGAGGTTTGGACAAGCAAACCCATTAGCTATTCTAATTTGAGAATGTGTGGTTATCATGTAACACCCATATCCTAGAGATAAGGGTACTCTTGTCATTCCATGTCTAATTTATCTAGGGCATATGATCTTTCCCATAATCTCAATGAAGGAGTGTCATACACTAATGTATAAGGGGAAGATAAGTGTATACTGTATCTGAGCAAGTACATTGGTAATTCCGGAAAAGAGCACAGAAATGAATTTCAATTCGTTTACTCAAGGAGTACAATGGACTTGATATCATGTATCAGAACAAAGATAGAACAAAATAAGTTGTGGACTTTGTAGATACAAACTATGCAAGAGATCTAGACAACGGTCCCCGCTTTACCCGTAGTTGAAGCGAAATATATATGGAGAGATTGCTTTGCTAGGTGGTTGGAAACACATGTTGAGACAATGGTTTAAGAACTCACATTTCAGATACAAGCTTTTTAATTGTTCAAGCATGTATTGTGTTCTCAATTCTCCCGATAATAAAGGAGTCGGATCACACCCCATTGCTGTAAACAGGATTTTGTCGAATCCCATAAATTTTGGTGTTCAGATTGCTTTTGTGTGCTTTGATAAAATTTTGATTCTTCATTTATTTCTTATTAATGTACTAATCAAAATGCTGCATGGATTCTCCAACAAGAAGACTATAGGGAAGCAAGAGAGTATATTGTCCAGAGTGAATATAATTGAATTAGCAAGTCTTACCAAATCAACTGAAGATCTTGTCATTGACTAGAGGCACTAGATAAGAAGAAATCTAGCATTCTAATTAATCATAGTTTCTTCAAGGACCCTACAGTCCTTGTCTCAAACCTCATACTCCCACACACGCCCTCGGGGGGGATACATCTGAATACTGTCCAAAAAAACTAGCGGGAATGTTTGGGCATGGAACTATATTCAAGGGTATTTGGATTCTAATGATTTCTAAATGGTGATGTTGTGCATTAACCAAACTATTAGTCTACCATAGTAGCAGTTTTGACATTTCTGCTAATCAAATCCAGGCTTTCTGAAACAAGTGACATATTTTATCTCAGATTACCCAACACACATACATTCAAGGCATCACCTTCCCACACCCTTCAGAACTGCTTGTGGTTATCACAAAAAGAATATATACTGCAAGATCGTCAACCCGTGAATCAAAACTTAAACGCATAGGTTATATGGTTATAAACAAAGGACAAAGCACATAATGAAACCAATCACAAAATCAAGCAGTAAGAAGTTACAAGACAAAAGAATTATAATGAAACCATATAGAAAGAGAAAGTTGTTCCATGACAACCCATCAAGATGAAATATATCGACTCTATTAGGTGCCTAAAATGCTCTAGTTTTGAAATTTTAGGAGAACCCCATTGTTTTTGCTCCATTAGCTAGCAGGGAACACCAAAGGCAACAAAGAATAAGTTACAATGAAAAGTATATTCAAATCTACACAGGATGGTTATCATTGTGGTAGCATCTTTTATTTCTTATTTTTCCTCATGTCTATAAGCCAGTCACCAGAGTATTATCAACTAGAAATGTTAGATGAATCTTCAAGCAGTTGCCTTTACTGTAGATATTTCCTGATAAAAGTTAAAGTTTAGGGCAGGAAATTAATTGTTACATAGGTGATTGCATCTCTGGCAATTACCTCATATCAATTGCCATTACATCAGCATTGCATCTAGCTGGAGGGAGAGTATAGTTCGGTGAAAAAACCTATCAATAAGGATCACAGTAATTACTTTTCAAACTGATTCTGTTCATAAATAGGTACAGTTTTTTCAAAGCAATGGTAAAATTACCAATTCCAAACCTGATTGCAGATTTCACAAGTGATGTCGCCTTTTTTGTTGCACCATCTCTGGATGCACTTCCTATGAGCAAACTGCATGCCAGAGGGGAGGGTAGAAGAAAAGAAAAATATCAGCCACAATTTACAACTCTACAACTAAGCAAAAACTTTAAGAAACCAAAAGAACGGGAATGTAGATAATACCTTAAGTGATAGTGCAGAATCATGTTTATAGATTCTGGGACTCTCCAAATTCTCATATAATAAAAGGAAAAAATTTTACACCAGCCGAATAATGCCGAATATATTTGAAAATCAAGATATGCATTCAAATCATCACAAACCATAATAGGCCAACAAGACATTTTTCAAAAACCTCAGCAATCATAACAAACCATCAGAACAAACAATCAGATCCAAATTTCAATCATAGTGAAGAACAAATCAATAAATCCCAGTTGCTCAAATGTTCGAACAACTGCAATGACAAAAAAGCTTTACAAAATATTTATTCAATATCCTTCGAAAAGCTCTAAATGCTAAAAAAAACATAAGGACTGACAAACAATTATAACTATGAGCTAACAAGGATAATTAGGAATGTCAAAAATATGGTGCCCCGCAGCAAAGCCCAGATACTGCAGTGCAGTAAAGCACAAAGGGAACTACACAAAGAAAATATAAACAGCCTACAAAAAATATAAGTACACAGAAATTCACCATAAAATATTCTAAATTTAGGAGAAGGAAAATTTGAAAACTCAAGTCTCAAAATAGAAATAATTAAAATCCAACATTTATTACAAGAAAAATTGCACAAGGCATTTGACCAGGTTTATTAACCAATTTCCTAAAAAAAAAAATTAACCAATTTCCGAATAGGAACAAAAACAAATTGAAAAGTATGGGAAAAGTGCAAGCCGGAGAGAAACATTGAGCACCCCGATGAAACAATGAAAAAGGATGAATTAATGCACAACTTTAGAATTCCCCACATGAACAAAACCAATAGAAAAAGAGCAATGGTATTGGGGAAGAGAGTCCCAACAAAAACACGTAACAAGCAGCAATAAATACAAAAAACCAGAAAAACCCACATGCCAAAAACAACCCTAACAAATATACAAACACATACCCCATCAATAAACTTACAAAAAAAAACTGAGAAAAGAACCAAACACTAAACAAAGAGAAAGGAAAAAACATAAACCCAGAAAGTGAAGACCTTGAGGGTTCCATTACAGCCACAAGGAGCTTCCATTTCATGCTCTTCATCTTCCTCTTGACATATCCTACAATCTTTTACAGCATTTGAACAACCCTCTCCACCATCACCACCACCACCATTGTTGTTGTTGTTGCCTTTGTTTAGAGTGACTACTCCATTGTTGTTGTTCTCATAGTTGTCAGTGGTAACTACCACTTCCCCACCACCAGCACCACTTCCTAAAAGCCTTTCTCTCTCATTCACCGGCTCAAAGCATGATGATGCTATTATTCGATCCACACACACCATGAATTCATCCACCATGCTTTTCTCTGAACTTTCAACTCTCTTTCTATCTCTTTAGAGCAATGAAGACTGAGGAAACAAATACCTAGAAACAGAGGAGAGAGAGAGAGAGAGAGAGAGAGAGAGCAAGTGCGTCTAAAAAAGTTGCACCTGTGTGTAGTGGCGGAATTTACGAAACGGACCTGTCTTCACTTTGACTACATAGACGATAATGCCGTTAATTGGTGAGTGAATTTGCTAATTGGTCCTCAAAATATTTTGTCAGTTGTAACGACCAAAGTACGGCAGCATCAGGCGATCAATGATACTACGAGTCCTTCTGTAATACCGAAATTTGTTTCGCTGTACCAAAATTTAATTGACACCATTGATTTAATATTTTCGATTTTCTAGCTGTTGATCAGTTTAAAAGGTTGGATATTGTTAAAACAGTAATAAAAATTGAGTAAAATTTGACAAATAATCTCGTACTAAAAAGGAGTTAACATAATTAAAAAATGTGGTAAATTACCCTAAATAGTTGTAACTCCCACAAAAGTAAGAACCCAATCAAAAAATTGTAACTCATTTCAAAAAAGATGAAACATCAGTCCAAAAAATATAAATTAATGCATAAAAGTTGAAATTCTATCTCTAAAAATTTAAAACTAGCCTCAAAAAATTATAGTACAATCCTAAAAAATTAAACCTCACCCCAAAAAATTATAACACAATTCAAAATAGTAGAAATTTCACCAAGAAAGTTATAATCTACAAATCCGTAAAAGTTGAAAGTCACCCCTAAATATTAGAACCCAAATCCAAAAAGTTATACCCCTATTCAAAGAGTTGGAACCTCTCCTCTAACAGTTAGAACTCACCCAAAAAAGTTATAACTCAATTCAAAAAAATTGAAACTTTACCCCCAAAAAATATAAACTAATTCATAAAAATTGAACTCTATCCTCAAAAAGTTAGAATCCACCCCCAAAAAAATATAATTCAACCCTAAAAGTTAAACCTCACCCTAAAAAGTTGTAACCCAGTCCAAAATAGTTGAAATCTTAGCAAAAAAAATTGTAATCTAGCTTATCCATAAAAAATGAAAGTCACCCCAAAAATTGGAACTCAAACCCAAAAAATTATATCGCTACATAAAGAGTTGGAACCCCTCCCCTAATAGTTAGAATCTACAAAACTTGAGTAAATTTGAACTTTTTCAAAAAAAGGACAAAATAGTAATTTATCACTATAATGCGGGATTAAAATTCATATATTTCTAGAACTCGGGTGACGCAATGGATCTCACCGCTGGATTTGTATCGCGAAATCAAGTTGCCCAGTCAATTTTCATCAAATTTCGAGATAGTCAAAATTTTCACGCTTTACAAGACAAATAGGGGTCGGATGAACTCACAAACGTCCCCAAAAACAAAAATTATAAAATTTCCTTATAATTGAAGAAAATTTCAAATAAAATTAATTTGAACTTAAATTTGGACAAAATTAAGTCGTTTCAGGACAAAAACGGACCTAGAAGTAGAAAACGTGCGGCGCAATGTGGACCGCGCAATTAAAAAGTATAAATAGGGGCTAAATATCTGAGCCATGTTTGGTTAGTAACTGAAAAACAGTTTTTTGTTTTCAAAATTTTAAAAACACTCAAAACTTGTTTGCTTAGCATTTTTGTTTTCAAAATTTTCGAAAAAATGAGATTTGAAATACAAAATCAAAAAACAAGCCTGGCTTGTTTTCGAAAAACTTTCCAAGGAATTCAGAAAACACAGAGGTAAGGTCACTGTTTGTCACTGTTCATTAATGGTCTAAGTATAAATTGTGCTTTAATTTTTTTTTTCAATCTCTCTCGTCATTTGTTGCCCTGCTCGACCATCTTCTTCGGTTAAGCTCTAGCGAAACACAAGCCACACATCAAGCGTAACTCTGGCGAAACTCCGGCGAATCACAGGCCTGTCTTCTCCGGCAACAAGTAACCGTAGATCTATTTTTTTTTTTCTATTTGTTTGCCTTGATTTTTTAATAGGGTTTGGTTTTGTTAGATTTGTTTGCATTTTTCCTTTTTACCTTCAGATCTATAACAGATATGTTGTCTAACAACTCCGGTGAACCGATCTTGATGTTCTGTAGACTCAGATCTCCTAGATTTGATTATATTATTTTTTTGCCTTGAAATTATATCCGGTGACTACTTGTTTAGGCTTGGGCATTTTATTTTTGGTGACTGCTTATGATTTTTTTCGGTGACAACATATCTATTTTTTTTTCTTTTTTTTTGCCTTGATTTTTAATAGGGTTTGTGTTTGTTAGATTTGTTTGCATTTTTCATTTTTACCTTCAAATCTATAACAGATCTGTTGTCTAACAACTCCGACAAACCGATCTTGATGTTCTGCAGACTCAGATCTCCTAGATCTGATTATATTATTTTTTTTGCCTTGAAATTATTTTCGGCGACTACTTGGTCTGGCTTGGGCATTCTATTTTCGGTGACTGCTTATGATTTTTTTTGGTGGCTTCGACATTCTGTTTTCAATGACTGCTTATGAATCTGAGTTGAGAACTGGTGATTGGTTAATGTTTATTGTTTCACTAAGGTTCATGATCAAGTGATAATTATCTTTAATATTGCCAATAGCATGAGCATTTGGTTAATTGATGCTTGTTTGTTATTACCAAGTAAATTGATCGTCAATTTGTGATATCCATGTATAATGTATTGCATATTTTGGAGTTCATTGCTATTTATCAATTCTTAGAAGTTTTGTGGCTTTACTTTTGTGTCGGGGAAACATGTCCATTATGCTTGTTTAATTTTGTCTCATGGTATTTATTTAATACAACAGATCTGGCTTGCAAAAGTGAACCGAAGGGCTTTGGAGGATCAACTTTGGGTGCTCAACACAAAGTCTGGCCCATTGATCAGTTGGCTGTTCAGCAGGAAGTTTCAACCTTACTCAAATCCTCGGTCGGCGAAAACGACATCTTCGATTTGTCAGACGTATCATCTGAGTAGGTATCTCGTATTCCTTAAAAATGAGAGCAATGTGGAATGTAACAGCATGTATGGTACATTTTTTTACAAGCATATGCAATGGTTGTATGTTTTGCATTTATTTAATGTATGAGTTATGAGTGAATTATGCAACATAATTTGAGTAATTTTTTTTTATACATGATTAATTATTATATGATGTATATTTTCTTAGATGTCATCCCAATGTAATGACGGTGATGATATGACCACTTGGCCACCAAGGGTTGAGGAGTTATTTAATAAATTCCTGGTCCTTGAGGTAGAGAAGGACAACCCGAATGATACGACCATCAGAGGAAAGACTTGGAATAAATTGGTAGGTTTGATGACCAAAAAAATGGGTCGTACTTACACTGTTGCAAATCTTAAAAGGAAAATACAATAGGTTAAAGAATAAATATCGAACTTTCAAAAAACTCCTGACCACAACTGGATTTGGTTGGGACCTAGAAACCAACACTGTGACGGTTGAGGAAGATGTCTGGGCGCGATATATTGCGGTATGCATAGTTTGACATAGTTGTGTATACTTTTTAGGCTAGTTATTTATTAAATTCCTTAATGATAATTATTTTTTTTAGGCAAACCCACAAGCGAAAGCTTTTCGCAAGAAAGGGTGTGACCACTTCAACTTATTGGGACTTGTTCTTGGAAAATCGATAACCTCGGGCCTTTTAGCCTGTGCTTCGACCCAACTCCCACTAAATTCAGATGAGGAGAGAGAGTTGGAGGAGGAGTTCATAACTGGTCAAAAAAGATCATCTGCTAGTCTTGATGATGATCTTGAAGGTCCACTTCCCTGTCCACCTAAAAAAATTGGAAGTACTTCAGGACATAAGAATAAGAGTTCAAAGATGGACAATGCTATGGATGCATGGGCTGCATTCTCACTTGCTATGATGGAGAAATATAAGCGTACTTGTCAAGGGGCCACTGTGAATGACGCTTACAACATTGACACTTGCATAGATGTGTTAGAGGGTATGGAGGGTGTTGGATCCCAACAATATTTGGGTGCTTGTACAAAGTTCAAGGACCCTGAGTGGCGTCAAATGTTTATTAGGATGTCTGCACAACGTAGGAAGGAGTGGCTTGACTCACTTGGTTAGTTATGTATGAAACTATTTGGGCATGGATGTCCAAAGTTATGTATGAAACTTTTTGTGTGTTTCTACCGAGACAATTTGGGCATGTAACTGTTGGACAATTGGCGTATGATGTGGTGCATGGGCTACATATTTTATTTTGTATGTTTTGAATTTGTAACGTTGGAAAATCTCTATTATAAATGTAGTATGGTATTGAAAATGTTTAGTGGTATGATGTTGCATGATGATGTGGATCATTATCCTATGACTGTTGTCGTATTTATGCATTATAATCGTTGATTCTGTATTATGTTTGTAGTTACAATGGAAAATACAACTGCCCAATCAAGTGATGACTCATTAAGCTCATCAAGCAGTTTAGATGATGAATTCGACGATATGTTTTTTGTCAATATAATGTTCCCATATGCTAAGAACCGTTTGTTGAAATCACTATGCATGACATTTGAATTAACTGGTCATGAATGGGTTATGGAATTGTTGAATGGAAATCTATCACTCATATATAATTCTATACAGATGGATGCCGATACTTTCCTTGCATTGTGTAAAACACTACGCGATGGCGGTCACATACAAGAGGACTACCACAACCATTTGACAACTGAGGAGTCCGTGACTATTTTCTTACTCACAGTTTCACATAGTGTTAGACAAAGACTTGTTGTTGAGATGTTTCAACACTCAACTGAAACTATCAATCGCCAATTCAAGAAGGTTATGCGTGCATTAGCCAGTCTAGGACCTTCAATAATTCGGCCACAACTTCCATACGAAACTCAACCAAAGATATTATATGATGAACGATACTATCCATGGTTTAAGGTAACAGCTACTAAACATGTTACATATATTTTATTGTACTACTAAAAATATATTTTATAAATGTAGGATTGTATTGGTGCAATTGATGGTACTCATATAGCTACATGGGCCCCTACTTCTAAGCATGAGGCATACCGTGATCGAAAAA